TTTTTTTTTTTCCTCCCCAATTTTTTTTTCTCCCATGTCCCCTGGGGGGCTCCGTATTTAACAGCTTCATGCTCCATTTCTGAGCTTTTAGCTTTTTCTTTCACAGCCAACACATCAAGGAGATGCTGAAATTTAACTCTATTTGTTTCTTTTGAGCTCTTTCGAGATATTTCTGAGCTCCTACCCATCGCCAGAACTCCCCCCTTGTTCGTCCCTGTCACGTTTGCCTTTTTCACGCAGCGGTTAATCCCTAGCTGTATTCGGTGCTTCCGTTAATAACGTGCAGGGATCTCAGCGTGGGCAGACTAGCGCAGAGAGATTTGCAGCTGAAAACAGGCTTCCAAAGGTCTTCTTTGTCATGCACCATTAATGTTGGATTGTTGACAAAATAAATCTACATACCCCGACCCTCTGTCTCGCTCTTTAACTCTCCATCATATTTTTTTATTATTCCCCTTTCTCGCCTTTTTTTGTCTCTCTTAACTTTTTCATTTCTGAGTCTTCATTCACTTCTGCTGCCTCTCTTTCCCCACTCCCCTCACTCCGACCTTAATGTCTTCCCTCCTCCTAATTTCTTTCTTTTCTCTACCTCTCATTCCCTTTGTCATTACATCCATTTCTGCTTTTTCTTTCAGGACGATCGACTGCGGACGCCACTTTTGAAGCTGAAGCTAGCAGTGTGCAGTGTGATGCCTGAGCAGATAGCGAAATATAACATGGAGTGCATGGCTAAGGTTGCAAAGTAAGTCAGTCCTTTTTGTTCCAGAAGGTGAGCAGTCCTCTGAAAGCAGTTTGAGGACAGCTCTTTTAAAAGAAGTGATATGTGAACTCTCCTGATAATCTTTTTTCCATCCACCCATGTCATCGGAGTTCCCGATGCCGTTGTCACACTGGCAGCATTTGTCTTCTATGCAAATCGTATGAAGATCAGAGTTAACGGTGCTCAAAGTCCAGTCAGTGCAAAGCAGCTTTTTTTCCCTTGCTGTGTTTGTCAGTTAAGTTGAGATGGAGGGAGACTTATAATATCAAAACTATTAATAATAGCAGGGGAGAAACATCCATTTATTTACACTGATGTAAAAGAAGTCTTAAAAATGCTGCCTGTGGATACATACCCGAATACTGCTACCGTACGACGTTCAAAGCATAACGTATATAAAAACTTGGATGGAAAATGCATAAAAGCATCTTGTTGACTTTAATTTCTTGAGGAAAAAATGGTTTATTCAAGCCGTTTATGTTCACTTTTATATCTGTGTTTTATTGCAGACAGCAGTCAGAGGAGGGCGATAAGAACGGCTCAGAGGAGGACGATGAGGAGAAACCTGGGAAGAGAATCGTGGGACCTCGGAAGAAGTTTGTCTGGGACGACAAGCTCAGGTAATGATCCGAGTCTGTCCTGCTGGAAGAGCCGGCCGGATGCCGTTCCAGCGTCTTTGTGCTGCTGTGTGGAGTGATTTGTTTTCTCTTCGTCTCTTTTTGTTTTCATCTTCCCCTTTGTTCTCCACCGCTGGTGTTTAATCTAGTAAACCGAGCTCATACAGGCTGTAAACAATTTATGTCCGTTCAGAGCTTGCAGGATTAACACTTCACATCCTGGAGAAAGAGCTTTTACTTTTCACCATTCTCCATTTTTTTTTTTCCTACTTATATTTCACTAAAACCGAAGTTAAAGTTTTATTCCTGCATGGTGAGGAATAACGAGGAAACCCACAGGTCAGAAATGGTGTCTGAATAAAACTGCTGATAAGTGCTCATTAATTTTCTCCATCGTACTACAAAGACATTTATTTATTCATTTAATTCAAAATAAATGAATACCTCTGCCTCTTTGAAGCATATCAGTGTCTTCTGTCATTTTGTGCTCGGAGACTGCAGCCTGTTTTTCACCTTAATATTGAGTGGAGTGTGTGTGTGTTTGTGCAGGAACCTGCTGTGCAGCTTAGTGCGAGTGAAGCTGAGCTGCTATGAGATGGAGAACCAGTGCTCTCTGTCTGTGGAGGACTACCTCAAGGCTTTCTTAGAGAATGAGGTCAAACCACTGTGGCCCAAGGGCTGGATGCAGACCAGGTCTGTGCTGCTTTTGTGTGTTCAGCTCGTTACAAGCAGGAGGCACTTATCCGCGGAAAAGTGCAACGTATGCAAACTGTGTTTTAAATGTTGTCAAAGTACTATAAATTTGCTGCTGCCATGAGAGCAGTTAAGTCTATTTGATATGTGTAAACCCTGAACAATAGTAATCCATCCACATTAGGAACCTTTGGAACCGACTGTATCCAACTTTAATGTGTTTTCCGTTTTTCTCGGTGATGTCGTTCTTAATGTCAGTGACCCTGATTTTTGGCTGACTTTGTTGTTTATTGCCTGTTTCTCAGGATCTTGTTCAAGGAGAGTCTTGTTGTTCACAATCACCTCACTGGAAACCTGTAAGTGTGTCCTTTGTTTCTCCCGTAACTCTGAGCATGCAGGAATTTTACTGGGACTGAGCGTCAATGTAAAATGTCAGCTGAAGAGGGTGAATAATTGCTGGTATTTTTCCACACAGAGTGAAAAAGAGAATGGTGCCTGGACCCAAGGCTAAACCCAAGGTGAGTGACAGCTCAGACTATTTACTGCAAAATATCAAAAAGAAAAAAGGGTGTGTGTATTTTTATTTTACAGCAGTTTTATGAATCGTTCAATTTGAGCCCACTGGCTGAAGTTCTTTCGTGAATTAATACAACTGTAGCTGTATCATATTTGTGTATCTCTCAAAAAATAAGTGATTTGTAGGATTTATACAGCCAGGTGTAGTAACATTTATAGGTGGTGCAGTCAGGCCACGGGGCGAGGTCTCAGAAGGGTCTGACAGGTATGACACAGAATCATAAAGCCACTGTTAAACTGCTTAAAAAAAACAAAAACGCTTCCTGACGTTTTTCACAGTAAAAGCTCAAATGTTAAGGAGGAGTTGTGTGAAGGAACCTATGAGTTTCGTTCAGGGTTTAAAAAGTGTTTTGTGGGTAAAATGTTGGAGCTGTACTTTATGAAGAGAAGTGGTTAGAAATAAGTTCTGGTTTCTTTGTGGAGCTTGGGTGATACTGACTGTGTTCTCCTGTTCTTTAGGAGGGCCTTTGGCTCCACAAACCATCGCTAGGCATGACCTCCACCCCATCTCAGCCCATCTCCACATCTGTTCTGACCTCCAACCGCCAGCCCCTCTCCTCCTCGGAGCCCATCTGTTTGTCAGACTCTCTGGATGAAGATCTGACCGTTCCCTCTCTGGACTCCATCTCCCACGCTCTGGCCCTCCTCAGCAATGCATCCAAGGGTCCCACAGACAGCCCTTTGTCTCCCCCACCGCTGCAAATACCAACCTCTTCTCCTCCACCCGTCGCCCCTCACTACCCCTCAGGCTCTCAGCTTTCTGCCTCGTTAGCACAGACAACGCAGCACCATTCCCTGTCTAAAGTGGAGAGTGCTCCGCTGACAGCTGCATCTGTTGTGAACTTGCCAACAACAACGCTACCAACCTCCTCTTCTACCTCCTCTTCCTCGTCCCCGGCTGTCTCCTCCCTTGCTCACGTGCAGGCAGCAGGCCTAGCGTTAGCCTCCAGGACTGCAGACGGTCACTATGGCCCGATCAAAGGATCTGGTGTCATGGGCCAAACCCAGACTCAGAGACATGTTACCATGGCGTCACCCAATCACCGGCCAAGCACAGTGATGGGGAAGATGCATCCGCACCCCTCCCCCTCTCCTCCAAAGCATCGGCCTCCTCCGACAGCTTCCCCTCTGCTGCCCCCCCATCAGAAAGGCTTTGCTAGCCCGGTGGGGATACTGGGAACAATGGGAGCAAGTCACGCACTGGGAAAGAGCAGCGCCAAATCCAGCAGCAATGGCAGCGCTGTCAACAGCAACGTCACAGCTTCCTCCTCCCCTTCCCCTCAGTCCCGCTCCAACTCTACCTCCCACCATGGCTTGCAGTCCTTTTGCCCCCCGTCACCGGCCACCTCCTCACCCTCGCCAACCTCCCATACCGCACACTCCGCTCAAGGTAAATCCCACACACACCTCCACCACCAGCCCAACTTCATCACACCCATGCAGGCCACCCTCACCAAGTCCTCGCACAGCAGCAACTCTTCTCCCATCATCAAGCTAACCCCTCGGCCTCCCGCCCCCACCCCACCACCCTCATCCTCCCCCTCGCCATCATCCTCACCGTCAAATCCGCTTTCCCATCAAATAATCTCCACCCAACAGCAGCAACACCAGTTCTCTCCCAAAACCCCCAAAACTTTCCGGCCCCCCTTCAGTGTATCAGGTGGCGGGCAGGTGAAACAAACACAGGGCGGCTGCAGCTTCACTGGAGCCCAGAAACCTCAGTCCACCACTAGCAACAGTAGCATCAACAACAACTCTAACAACAAGGGAGTGGTCTCGACAGTCTGCAGTCATCCGGACAAAACCCCCCAATCACCTTCAGTCTCAGCCAGTCACGGGCAGAGGCAGAGGGTGGTGGGTGGGGCCAGCCAGGGTTCAAAGGCTGGAAATGGTTGGGTGGCTTCAGGAACTTTGGCCACATCCTCCACAACGTCACACCTCTCACAGGTTAGTTTCCACCAACGGGAAGTCACTCTTAGACTTTTATTTTGAATATATTTGTATATATTTTGTGTTTCCTTTGCAGGTATCGACTGCAGGCACTCCCCTCCTGGGCAACCCCTCTGCTTTGCCCCTGGGCTTCGGGATGTTGGGAGGTCTGGTGCCTGTCTCGCTACCCTTCCAGTTTCCGTCGTTGCTCAATTTCAGCCCTCCTGGAGCTTCCGGGGCGGCTGGAATGGGCACAGCACCCAGCTCCAACTCAGGATACCCGTTAGCACAGAGCGACCTAATGGGTGAGTGGGCTCTTAATTAAGGGACCTGCATCTTTTATCGCCAACAGACAGACTTTACTGTGCTTTTTAAAATAAAAGGCCTTTGATATCCTATATCAATAACACGTTAGACTTTAGGAAGTTATTTTTGCCTTTTATTACAACTTGCAACTACGTTATATTAAGTGGGGGTTGCGGTAAAACACAAAAAATAAGATGGTACAGGATTTATACTGGCGGTTTCTGTTAAGCTAGAAAATGAGTTACTCTGGTAACCTTTTCACAGATATAGGAATTTAACTAGTAGCATCTTTAAAAGTATTTTAATACTTACTAACTGTAGCAGAATTGTTGTAGTTTTTGTTGATTTGATTATAGATTTTCTTGTTTCAGTTTAGTTTTTACCCCTCAGTCGTAAAAGGCTAATCTGATATTGTCGTGACACCACCAGGTGTGCGGTTGGGAGGGTGGACTCCCAAGTTTGTGAATGCAATAACCTGAGAACGAAGCGATGTAGGATTTTGAAAAACTTACCAAAGGTGCATCTGCTAAAAATATCAGATGAGTTTGAATTTCAGTGCAATAACTGAAGAAGCAAGTCACCTAGGACTTAAATGTTCAGTGCTAATTGTAGTCTGTTTAATTATTACTGTATGGAGAGCAGATGTCAGAGCCAAGATTTAGAAAAATCAGTACAGCTGTAACAATAAAGATGCATAACTCTTTGAATGCAGTTGACTCAGTCTTGTAGACATCCAGAATCTCAATAAACGCGTCCATGAAGCTTTAATAACATCTTTACTAAACTAACAAGAACTAAAACTAAGCATATTCTATTTTTATTCTGAAATACTTATTTTTATTTTGGTTAACTAAAATGTTTTTCACATGTAGTTTTAGTTGACTACAATAATCTTGCTTTGTAAGAGACTAAATGGGACTCCTTAAATATTACTGGTTCACTGTGTATTTCTGTAAACCAGCAGTGCTTCCCCTGCCATGACCCTCTTTTACAAACCAGTCTCCCTCCTTTGTTCTCACCATTTTTTTTTTTTTTTGCACCAGTCTCTGTCGTTTCAGCCCTTTGTACTCGTTCGCCTCGCTGACAGCTTTGATCCTCGACTATCTTTTATTGCTGGTCTCACATTTTAACGGTGTCATCTTTTCCCAGTTCTCCCTGGTTGTTGCTGTCTTTCCTCTCATTTGTCCACCCTACCCTCCATCTCTCCTCAGATCTGTATAAGAGTCTCCAGTCAGGGTCACAGGCTGCCCTACCTCCTCACTTGCAGCTTGCTTTTTCAGGTAATCTGCATCCCTCCACCTCCTCTTCATCCTTCCTCTCCATCTGTCTGTGTCAGGCTGACTTGTTGCAGTCGGCTCAGCTGCTCTGTTACTTGTTAGTTCTCCAACTTTCTGTTTGCTGTAGTGTATCTGGTGTTCAGCATGCCTCCGGTTTGATCGTAGCATAGTAGAAACACGAAGATATGTCGTTTTTTTGAGCAAAGTCTGTTTAAAAAAAACAAAAACTGGAACCTACTGGGTGACTTATGAGCAATTAAACCTTTTTCATATTAGAAGTTTTTGATCCTTTTTAATCAAAAGTTTAATTTGCGTTTTATCTGGTGCTTTCACATATGGATGCAGTGATAAAAGGGTCGAACACTGATAGGTCAAAGTTTACTCAGGTCAGCAGCAGTCATTTTTTATTTTTAGGGGAGAAAAAAAAAAGATTCAAATAATTTCACAGGTGTTCTGTAAAAGCAGGAAAAACCAAGCATTCAGCTACTGGCACGTTTTAAATGATAAGCTGAGTTTAAGGTGGATGAATGAAATGTCTTTTCCTACTAAGGTTGGTTGTTCCTGGGCCGTCCTGTATCATTTCCAAGTAAATCCACACTTTGGATTTACTGTAACTCCTGTTAATTAATCGCAGGGACCAGGCCTGCGTAGCTTGTCTCT